CCGCCTGCGCCCTGGAGCGCTGGCTCCGCCGGCGCGGAGGTGAGTGCGGCCGTCCGCCCTCGGGTGGCTCTCTGGGCGAGGCCCAGGCCCATCCCCGGCTCCTAGGCCCTGGCCGGCGACAGCAGCGGGGCCGCGGCACCGAGTGGACAGCAGGCCCGTGCGGGCCTCGGCCCGCCCCCGCCGCCGGGCCCTCCTCGCGGTCGGCGGCCTGAAAACCCCCAGGCCGGGTCTGGGAAATCGCTGTCCCTGGGCCTGCAGCTGCCACTCTGTAACGACCTTCGTGTTTGGTTAACTCGGGCAGAACGGCATGTTTTGCCCAGGACTCGTGCCACAGTTCTTAGTACTGAGAAAATAACCTGTCGTAAATGCTTTTCGAGACAGCTTTTAATTCTCTAATCAATCTCCAGTACTGGGGACCTGGAGACGGTATTGTACTTAATACAGGAGTCAGCCCATCGGTCTCCTTTAAAACACTATAATGTGTGTGGAGTTTTCTTAAGATGGAAGGGGTATTTTGTTTGTTTGTTTGTTTTGTTTTTTAAATAATAAAGTGGATTGGTGTTTACCAGTTAGAAAACACCCGTGGAGGTGAACAGTTAAAAATAAGTATACCACTGACATTCAACTATAGATAAGAGCCAGTGAAGGGAATTTGCTTAAGAGATTTTCCTAGTAAAAGCTGTGCAGTGCCAGTGATTGCCCATTGGAAAACCATTAGTGGTATTGATTATTAACTGCTTCCAGGTTTCATTTGTGTAGGTTTTATCTCCCAAACTGCCTTTGTAGCAAGATGCAATTTACCAGGGTATAATGGCTTTTTTGAAAAGGCAGTCAGTCCCAGCGAGAGGATTCAGAAGGAGCCACAGGTTACGGTGAATTCTCCTACTGGATCGTCCGTGAGTGTAGGGTTTGGATATAGTTTTGCTCTCGAGTCTTATATTTGTATAAGCCTTGCCTGCCAGCAGAGTGATAGGAAGGGGTTGCTTGGCCGCAGGAAGTGTGGGAAATACTGCGTGGTGGTTGGCAGTCAGGCTTTGGAGTGACTGCTTTTAGTTGGTCATTCTAACAGGTGACTCACAGAGAAACTGGATTTCTGCTTCTAGGGAATGGACTGAAAAAATGTCTCTTGCACTGCAGAAGTGTAATTGTTAGTGATGGTTATGGCACATAACAAGCACTGAGTATGTAGCATCTACAAGTTAACATTTTAGAGAATGAGAAAAATCTACCTTGCAATATTGCTCACATGTCCCACTTTTATCCATTCATTAGCCGTTTAGGGATCTACTTAAGTTTGGGATTCATATTGTACTTAGTTACATAAGCCAATCTAAGGAACTCCTTTCCTTTGAAAGGCTTCTGTTTAATATGGGTAGAATTGTTTAAAGATGAGCGGTTTTGTTTGTTTTTAATAATAATGAAGTGGATCTGAGGCAGGTATACACAAATGATGCAAACAATAAGACTTCTGTCCTCAAGGGCTTAGAGTCTCTTGGCTTGATTGATAGTAGACACATACACTAATATATAGATTACAAATTTTAAGAGTCCTACAAAGGAAAAAAATCTGAGATCTATCAAATAACCAGTGAACAGTTTGGGGAAGGGAAGTGATTTTTATGTTGAAACTTGAGGCATGATGAGACAGTCCTTTCCAAGCTAAGAGGACAGCAAACAGTGGTGTGAAAAATAGGCACTTTCAAGGACTGGAAAGCCCAAGAGCTTACTGAGATGCCAGGCAAGGTGCTGCCAGATACTACTGGAGAAATGGATGTTGCCAGAGCCCTGGTAGGGATTTCATTCTCGAAAGTGTTCCTAGGACTTATTTATATGTGTAGGCGCTAGGCGCTAGGGAGCAAGTGTACCTGAAAGAGATTGACATTTTAAAAGCACCCCTGTATTAACAGTCGGTCTGGCAGGAGATGACAGTGGCTTTTGGTTTTGGCAGAGATATAGGGATGGACTTAAGATATATTTTGGAGCTGGAAACCACTGACCTGTAATAGATTGGAAGTGGCAGGTGGATGACAGAATAGAATCCTTCATGACTTCTGGCTTTCCTGCTGAGCAGCTGGGTGGATGGTGTTGACTGCTTTTAACTCAGATGGGAAAGACTGGGGAGGTTTCTGACTAGTCATTAAAGCCACATACACTGTTGTAAATGTGTTAAATTTGAGGTTTTGGGGAGACATCTGAATGGCTTCCAATTTACTACTTAAGTAAATACCTGGAAATCTTCCTTTTCTACACAGGATCATAGATGCTATTTGTAGTCTAGTTCCCCTTGCTCTACAGATGAGAGACTTAAGATGTAGAAAGATTAAGTATCTTGCTCAAATCACTTAACATGTCTTACTAAAATAGGTGGTATAGCTATGGGAAAGTGTTGCATTTGCATCTTGCACTAGGAATATTACTGAATATTCTGTATTCTCTGTCCTTTCATAGAAAATGGTGTGTGCTCTCATTAGGAGTTAGTATTTGGAAATAGTAGAAATAACTGAAAATTTACAAAACTCTGCTTATAAGAGTTTATGTTACTATGTTGCATGAGCTTAATTGTCAGTAGAAATGGTTTTTCTTCAGGAAAAAATTCCTTGGGAAAGGGAATTTCCACTAGAGTTTAGAAAAGGATGTTCAGGAAAACAGAAAACTGAATAAATTGAATAAAACTCAACTTCTTTGTTGTTTTAGCATCTCCTTACTCCTGTTGAACCCAGTGAGTCTGTCTCTCTAAAGAACTCTGACGACTTTGAAATCACTGGCCGGCCACCCCTATAAAAAAAAATCCTTTCTTTTATTCCTATGGGCTATTAGACCTTGGACAAATTATCCAAAGTCTGTTTCTTCTGGTATGTAGCAATTGTGGAGTTTGTTGCTGTGCTGTACCTATATGACAAGATGGTAAATGTTATGTCTCGGCCAGTTTCAGAGCTAGAAGGGATTTTAATCTGTTTTGGGCTCTGGCTTTTACCAGTAAATTGCTATGTCTATTTTTTATGGGACCCACAGAATTTATAATAAAGTAATACAAAGTTCTTATTACCTAGTGCAGCATTTTTTTCATTCATTGAAATAATGAAACTGTGTCCTCCA